CTCTGTTTATGGCCCTTGATCATCATGATATGGACAAAGATATGGAAAGAGCGCTTAAGAGCGGCAACTACGTAAGTTATTTTTCATTGAACATTTAAATCATGAATCCTGGGTTGTATAATATTACTTTTCATGCATGTTGACACTTGTATATCGGAACTATTATTTATGTACATAAGATACATGATTATAATTGTTATTGTGATGTAGGATATAAAATAATTTGATTTGTTTTCTAGTTTTTCACAGCTACCTTCGGAATAGAAGCTATGTTAAAATTAATAGCGATGAGTCCAAAGTATTACTTTCAAGAAGGCTGGAACATCTTCGATTTTATCATTGTGGCATTATCGTTGCTTGAATTGGGACTGGAAGGAGTTCAGGGTTTGTCTGTGTTACGTTCGTTTCGACTGGTAAGTTATGCAAATATTCATTTTCCACCACTGATCTTTATTGATATCACAGATTTAATGACTATCTTCAAATTGCAGCAACTTTAACATCTCAGATTCTTATAAATTATTGTTAACCTATATTTTTAATCTTGAAACTTATTATCCAGCAAAACTGATTGAGATGGATAAGATTTTACGACAGTTTTATTATGTTTTTTTAGTGAGAATTATATTATTGTTGTAAAGTGTTTGTCAACTAAATTTTCAATCTGTATGTAATGTGTGTCACATGTGTGTTAATATGATAAATCCCATACACTAACAATGGTTTTATGTAAATTTGTGCAATGATGTATTTTCAGCTTCGTGTATTTAAACTGGCTAAGTCTTGGCCGGCGCTAAACCTTATTATATCCATAATGGGTAGGACCGTGGGCGCTTTAGGGAACTTGACCTTTGTACTTTGCATCATTATATTCATATTCGCGGTGATGGGAATGCAGTTGTTTGGGAAGAACTATACAGGTTCAATTTGAAAGAAAATTTAGCATCTCTAATTAAAGAACTCAGCTTCATTGTCGATTATTAAGCTTCACACTCCCTAATAATTTACACAGGGCTTTGGTAACCATCTCATAAAGGGCGAAGAGCTCGCGCAGTGGCTTTATAATAACTTGGAGAGGCCATCAAATGGGCCCCAAGGAAATAAGTTATAAAGCTATACACGCAGCTTGGGATCATGAGTTGAGCTTTGCATCAAGTATATTAGATGTGATATGCAGCTTCGCTTACTCTGGGTATTTTGATCAGGTCGTCCGTTGATGGGATCTACGACTTAATAATTTAATAAAAAAACAACAAACAATAATATTTCGATCAAACGACGACGGAACATAAATCCCGATCATATTAATAACGATTGCACACTTCGTTAGGTTACTCCAGCACACATTTGCATATTTTTATCAGATTCAGAATCACTTACCTAAGGGGGGGAGTGCAACATTTTAAGTGAATGTGAGTGAGTGATTCGGGGTCCCCGGTGCAGGCTGTAGCATAGGTGAAGCGCCGGTGAGCGAGCTTGTGTGACGCCTTGTTTCACAATTTGTAATTGCAGCTTCGAGTTTTCAAATTGGCAAAGTCATGGCCGACACTTAATTTACTCATCTCTATAATGGGTAGGACGATGGGTGCCTTGGGCAACCTGACCTTCGTATTGTGCATCATTATTTTCATATTCGCGGTGATGGGTATGCAACTGTTTGGAAAAAATTATGTGGGTAAGTGGTATTGGTGGGATGTTGCATGTTCGTTGGTGTTTGAACTTGGCGGCGCAGGCCTAGCGGACTGCCAGTGAATGTACTTCGTGTTACCTTACAGTAGGTTATATCTGCTTGCTTAAAACGCAGTTAATTGCTATTCAAACTCTTTTATCTTAACATAAATGTCTATGAGTTAACTTTTTGGTTTCTATAGCATGATGGCGGGTCTCCCAGGGGATTTAAAATGTTTCTGTACTTTAGAAATCTTATTAGATTGTGAAATACATTCACTGAGTTCATGTAAAGTGTGGACAACTATTGGGAAATTTTCTGCAGTTATTTTCGTTGTTTTCTCTCCACACTTTAAGCAGGCCCCCGCCATGTTTCAATAGTACTTATAATGTGTTGGTGTGCGTCACACTGTAATGCTCAGTTTCCTGTTAGAAGATTGGCAAGAATCAATGTGGTCCTTACAAGTGAGCTTTTCACTCCAATGTATCTGTATATAAATTGTTTATCTGTATACCGGTCTCTATGCCCCCAAAAAGGCGCCTCACTTGTGAAACGTTCCAGCTAACTACTGCTTCTTTCATCTTTCTTCTTTTGTGCACACACCATTGTCGTTCTACTTTAATTTATAATTTCTATTTACTTCTTTAAGCGCTTTTACCTCTTTCTTGCCTTGTGATGTGAAGTAAGTGTCTTGTATTGTTATGCACGTAATTAAACATAAGGTATATTAATATTTATCTATTATACTTGGAACCTTATATGCACAAATATTCTGCGCATGCTTAAAGTGCACTTAGCAGTGAAAAACAGTCGTAAACGTTTGAATTCAATCACGATAACGAATAATATTATTATGAAAAATACCAAACTTATGTATAAATACCGCTGCTGTAGAGATCGACAAAGAAAAAGACTGCTAAATTACTGCTAAGTGTATCTTAATCGTTGTTTATTCGTTGTCCTAGTAAAGCGATAAACGCGATTTGACCTAAAAACATTTACAATAGTATGTATCTTTGTCCTATCTTTTTTATCGAGGTGAAATCTTCAATCTTTGACCTAACTAGTCGATGTATTTCGTTTAGTCCCGTCATATTGCAGTACCGCGTTTTTCACTTTCAGGACAACGGGTAAGGTAAAATGGCTATAATGCTTTACTCAATGATTATAGTAAGTTACAAATGGAAACATAAGACATTACATTAATAACTAGATAACTAGATAACTAAATTAATAACAATTTGTAGTATTTTTGGCAACATAAAATATATATTGTAAAAAGATAACTGTCTTATGCTTACATTTTAAAATATTGTTCGTTACTTATTAAATTGTGTATGTCCAAATTATGCATATTTACAGTGTTTTTGCTATAAAAGTAAGATGTATTTTAACTAATCATAACATTTGGCTGTACTCTATAACCGCAAAAACATGGCATTAAATACACTTGGATTCCTACAAGTGCTCTTAAAGTATGCACAAAGTTTGAATTAATATACCAAAACTATATTACCGAATAATTAGCAGTTGATATTAGGAACTAAGTAATGTTTAATTGTATTTTAATTGCAACAATGAATATGTACAGATTACGTGGACCGTTTCCCCGACGGTGATCTACCTCGATGGAACTTTACGGATTTTATGCACAGTTTTATGATTGTGTTCCGCGTGCTCTGCGGAGAATGGATCGAGAGCATGTGGGACTGTATGTTAGTGGGAGATGTCTCATGTATACCATTCTTCCTCGCTACCGTTGTGATCGGAAATCTTGTGGTTAGTATAACTTCCATTAAAAATTACATTAAGCAGTAATATATCTACAAATATATCGATGGGTGGCTATTTGTTTTTAGCGCCATTGCGTTAAATGTTCAAGAGAGCCATTTAAAGATTTCATTTTCAGAAAAAAAAACATAAAATCCTTTAAATAATTTCAATTGAAAGTATTTCAGACCGGTTCTAGATTGAAATTACTATAATTCTGCATATTTCATTTAATCCACTGACTATTAATTACTGCTAATTGTTGGCGCTTCACACAGGGCTACTTAAAAACGACACCTACATTTTGATTGTTTCAAGCGCCACAAAAGTGCTCTGATCTTTATGAAATCCGGTTCAAACGACGCAGAAAAATTCGTCGCTTCTGTATATATTATAGCCAAACAAACTTTCACCCGTCGATATTATCATCACCAGCTCACTATACGTCTCCACTGAGGGATTCGGACCTACCCTTAGTATGACTAGACTTTAGTCAACCACATTGCACTGCGGTTTGGTTGACTTCACACGTGTGTTTGTTTTTATTGGCCGATACTTGCAGGTTGCATCACAATGTTTTCCTTCACCGTTAAATAGGGAAAATGAAATTGCTCTGGTTTTCCTTCAAAACGTATAAATCTTTCGTAGTTTACCCATTGATGATTACTGATTTTTTCAGGCACTTAAATGTAAATAAAGTGTATTAAAAGATGTAACTATTTGCAGGTTCTTAACCTTTTCTTGGCTCTGTTGCTCTCCAACTTTGGTTCATCGAGTCTGTCAACACCGACTGCGGATCAGGACACGAATAAGATAGCAGAAGCCTTTAACAGGATATCCAGATTTATTGATTGGGTGAAGCGTAATGTTGCCGACATTCTCAAGCTGCTGAAGAATAAGCTAACTAACCAGATAGCCATACACGCTCCCGGTAAGACGTGTACCGCTGTGTCGTATTGTGTCGCATGTCTGTGTGTTTGTTTGCAGATTGCTAGTATTGATGTTGCCTTTTATGTCAGCTACTACAGTTATATTGAATATGATTGTGATACTAAAGATTTTTGAAGTGTAGAAAAATGCTAAAGGAAAGCCTTGATTGATTTCAAAGCAACTTTATGAATATACTAAATGGTTTGTAATATGGAGATTAGTTCAGCTGAGCGTACTGACTGTATAACAAACGGCATGATTTTAATGTGTGTTGGGTGTTATAACTTTGTTTTCTTGTTTAGCATGTGTAACACAGGGTTGTCACTAGAACAAAAATTCTCAACAATTTTTAAGTTTTAAAATTAATATCTAAAGTGACAGCCCTATTTGAACTGTGTGGATATGTATTGCAAATACTTGATACATGTCACCACTGTGCGTTGCTTGAGCCCTTGCAGTCAAGTGTAGATACTTCAGACCTTGTTTTATATTTCCTTGTCGATACAATTGGTGTTATAGCTAATCATTTCATTGTAAATGTGAATCTCCAATATAGTGTCACTTATGATTTCGTCTCTGTTATTCTCTTTGTGAAAGATAGAGACAGAGCATCATTCGAAAGTGTCACCTCATTGGAAATTCACGGTAACAGTTGTCAATTTAGTCACGATCATATAATGAATAGCTCATATCGTGTAGTTTTGACAGTTTTTTATACTGTTCATAAACAAATGTGGTGTTGTAACATTTACTTTTGCTCCTGTTCAACCCTAGCTTCACTTAAGGTCAAATCTTGTAAATTATCGCTTAAAGCCTGTTACACACGCTCAGTTTTGTCTGAAATACTTAAGCAAATAAATCCAACTGAGAACCGTTCAGTGCCAAAAACGTTATCTGAACAATCCGATTCCTCTGATAAAAATGTCTGATAAAACGAAGTGTGTATAACGGGCTTTATATATAGTAGGTATACGTTGTTTGGTGTTTATATTAGATTTAATGAATATTATAATTTAATAATTTACAAAACCATTTAACTTTAGATCATAGTACGAATTATTTGTACTATCAAAGTCAATAGGACAAGATACCATACGCAGTGATAAAATAATTTCAGAAAGTATGATCTCAACTTATTCGTGACTTAATTGACGAGGTTTATTTAAAATTGCTTAGTTTTGTGATTTAATATGGTTTTATGTTAATATTCGATTCTTAATGGAATCTATTGCTTTGAATGTATGTGTATTGCATGTGTATATTAAAATTGTGTATGAGTTGTAGTTGAAACTAATTAATATATTTTGATACAAGTATCATATATGTTTGTTAAAATATAATTGTAACACCAGTTTCTATGTGCCAACAAAAACAGCGTTAAATATAATATATGAATAATAATTATCATGAAAAGAATTGCTTTGGAGGACGAAAAGCCGGTGCTCGGCGCACTACGGGAGTCATAATAAGTAGTTAAACATTTTGAACAAACAAACTACAACTCATAGATTGCTTAAAAATAACCTAACGGTAACAAGGTTGCTGCATTAGCGACAGCAGCAGGTACCCGAAGGTACCTCGGGAGTACAAAAAAAAAAGACCCTATGGGAGTAGGATAAGGCAGGGGAGATGATGAATTATCATGAGAAGACTACAAAGCTGCTGAAAAGATCGGTGGCTCCTACGTAAATTATTCTAAGCCACAATTTTGCGATATACAGCTTGTTTTTTTTATTGAACTTTATAAATTCTTTATCGCATTAATGTTTAAAATAAAAAAAATATGTTTTCAACATAAGACAGTTTACGTACGAGCCTTATTAAATTTCGCGTGTTTATTTATTTAGAGGAACTTAAATTATAATAATACTAAGATTAGACACTTCGTATCTCCATTATTGATTCGTGCGAGTTCAGGGCGTGTCGCTAGTATAATATGTGACTGCAGAAACAATCCAATTACTTAAGTAAATTAAAGTGTTTTGAGATTTTTTTAATAATTTTTTTGCTTTTCTAAAAATTCCGTCGTTATTCTGAGTGATATCCCTTATCTTTAAACATTATAATCTTATTTGTATAGTTTATTTCATATGCTCATATTTTATCATATCTTATCTTTATTTATCATAATTACTTGTAATTTAAATCTATATATTTTACGACAAAGAAACTAGTTTCGAGGAACTTTAAAAACATATTTTTGTTAAAAGAAGAGATGGAGGAGGGAGGAGGAGATTTGTTTGTAGGATAGAGATATTGGTACGAATGTTTTAATTGGTTTATTCTATAATAAGCTTTCGCCCGCGACTTCGACCGCGTGTAAATTAAAAAAAAAACAAACGCGAGTAGCCTATGTGTTTTTCCAGTCTATCCTCTACGTCTATGCCAAATTTCATCGAGATCCGTTCAGCCGTTTAGGATACAACCACTAACAAACATCCATCCATCTAAACTTTCGCATTTATAATATTAGTAATTGTTCTATGCATAGAAGCTGGTGATAATTTTAATGAAACTATAAAATTCATAAACATTTTCATAACTAAAATTGTATTGACTTGGGAACATAATTTAAGTTATTTCGTCCTGGTCTGATTTCTATGCTTGGGTGCTGGCGGCGATCACGTACGGTGGAATGACGTGAAAATTAGGCTTAAAGGCGGCTTTATGCGGCCGCTGTGTATCTTCAGAGCGAGTGGACAATGAACTGGAACTTGGCGCTGATATGGATGATGGTGTATTATACAAAGATAAGAAGCTTAAAGATCAAGTGGAAGTTGCTATCGGTGATGGAATGGAATTCACAATACCAGGTATAAATTTGATAAGTCAACGTTTGTCAGAATACGTTTACGATTAGGCTCTCAGTAGACAAGAAGATGTAACTACAAGTATTCAAAACCTGGCGAGTTTAGACGCCGAGGCTTAAGTATTAAAATGTCATAGAGGTTCATAAATAGTATACAATAGTTTTAAAGATTTATGTTCCCTTGTGAATGAAGGACTTTACAATACTACTTAGAGTCGAATGGACATTTAAGCTTTCATTTACATTAAGAATGAAATTGTGCTTCCCTCTGTTTGCAGGAGACAACAAATATAAAAAAGGCAAACTTATGTTAAACAATATAAACGCAATAACGGACAATCACACCGACAATAGAATAAACTGTGAACTCAACCATCATGGGTATCCTATACAGGTATTTGTCTAAATATAAAAAATGACTAATTTTTAGTACCAGGAATTTGATTTGGCACGTTAAAAACAAGAATTGTCGTAAACCAGACGTGCCAACTCAAACACCGAATACTGATAAATCACGATGTTATTAGGACGACGATACGATCAGCCAAAAATCTTACGGCAGTCATAAAATAAGATCTTTCAAGGATGAAAGTCACAAAGGTTCAGCAGATACGATAGATGGAGAAGAGAAGAAAGATGCTAGCAAAGAAGAATTGGGCTTAGAGGAGGGTAAGAATTTTTTAAATGACCTTAAAAAAGTTTATCGTGCAAGCAATCAATTGTTTGCAATCAGTTTTACGCTATCGCAATTTGTATTAACAAAATATTATTTTCATCATTGCTATCAAAATATTTATGATAATTCAATTATATACTTATGTTTTATCTTTACTTATGACGATTATAGTCTTTGGAGTTGATTTTACATGAATTTAGTCGAAGATTATAACTATTTTGAAAAACCACAATTAGTACGTAATATAACTTATGGATATTTCACAGAAATGGTTGAAGAAGAGGAAGACGGTAAATTGGATGGTTTAGGGAAACATGATATCATAGTAGCTGCCGACGAAGACGTAGTAGACGATACGCCTGCGGACTGTTGTCCTGAACCATGTTACCAGAAATTTCCCTTCCTGGCTGGCGACGATGAATCACCTTTCTGGCAAGGCTGGGCTATGCTGAGACTCAAAACTTTCAGACTTATTGAAAACACATACTTTGAAACTGCTGTTATTACTATGATCTTACTCAGTAGTTTAGCTTTGGTAAGTTTCTGGTTTTTAACTTATTGATTTACACAGTGAGTTATTTTTTTGTACTTTATTCTAGACTTTTGCTAATAAAATCGTGATTATCTTTTCAGGCATTGGAAGACGTTCATCTACCGCACAGACCTATCCTTCAAGACATCTTATACTATATGGATCGGATTTTCACAGTCATATTCTTCATCGAGATGTTAATCAAATGGTTGGCGCTTGGCTTCCAGAAATATTTCACTAATGCTTGGTGCTGGCTCGATTTCATCATCGTCATGGTAAATAATCCAATTATCTATTTTTAAACCGTTATCATGTCAATCATGCGTAATAATATTATAATTTAGATTATTTCTTAATAGTTAAAGAACGTCTGATTAAATAATTACTGAATTTAATTTATAAAGAGGTAAGATAGAAATTTAAAATGCAACAATGATCCATTTACAGTTTTGATTTAACTTTATAAAAAGAAAATGTCAATCATAGTCAGAACTTTAGAAGAGACTCTGATTGAATGATCTGCAGCTTAATTACAATAAGTAGGGAATCTAGAAGTAGGTAATTTGAATGACAAGTAATGTCGCGGTAGTTGTCGCTCATAAACCACGGGGCCGTGATGGCGGGCGCGGACGACATCCCCGCGTTTCGCTCCATGCGAACATTGCGTGCGCTCCGCCCCCTTCGCGCTGTCTCCAGATGGGAGGGGATGCGCGTGAGTACGCGCTGTCGACGCATCGTTTGCCGTTTGCCTACCCGATATGATCCTTAACGCTACACATTGATTGAACTAGCATTCTTATTTATTTTAACATTAATTACTTAACTGGAAATTAAAAGTTTCTTGTACTTAAAAGCATCAATGTGCAACGTTACCAAGAAGCGTAAGCTTTGATTGTTCGATGTTATCTGCAGTGGAGACTCGGTTCCCGCTGACTCGAGCTGTTGATGTCTCAATTGTTGTTTGTGTTTCGACGTTTGCTTCTATCCTCTCTGATGTTCAGTTTGAGAAATTCTTCGCTAGATACTTTGTTATCTACATATAAGGACTTGCTGTCAATCAATAGTTATCCAAATGCATGCCTTTTTTTTCAGATGTAAAGATAACTTAAAGACCTACTCTGAATCTGAATGCTATTATTGTGATAATTCTGTGTAAATAATTTGTTTATCCTATGTTTTTTCTAAGTGCGAATGAGATATCAGAGAAACTATAAAATATTATTATATTTTCGATCGTTTCCCTGATATCTTTAGTGTTTATCTCGATGTACCTAATTATGTATATGTGTGTGTTCATTGTGCTTTCCTGAGCTTTTGTTGTCCTGACCGTTTTTTAGGAATGCATAGCATTACTTGATTTTGGTTTTCATCTCGTCTTCTACATTTATCTTTCTACAAACTTTTCTCAGGCATTGGTTTTTGGTCGTTTTCGTCATCCAAAATTGGATCACTGATAAATCGTTTTTTATTTTCCAGGTCTCGTTATATCAGTTTAGGGTAGTCCGAAGCGAGTGTAGACTTTTAAGTTATTAAAATCTCTATGTTCCGTGTGTTCTCAAATTGCATGTTGAATTTCATCAGGTCTCGCTTATAAACTTCGTAGCGGCGCTTTGTGGCGCTGGTGGCATTCAGGCGTTCAAAACGATGAGAACCCTGCGCGCACTACGCCCTCTCAGGGCAATGAGCCGTATGCAGGGCATGAGGGTATGTACGCCTGCGTAGGTCGCTACTTCACTCTCGACACGACATGCCCCTCCAAGATACTCATAGTCTTACTGAAGTAAAATTTCTAACTTACTGTACTAAAAACTGTCTATTTCGTTTATACTAGCTCTGGTGTAAGATCATCAGATATCGCTTGAGTTTCGAAAATAATGTACAAAAATTTCACTATAGCACTATACAGAAATTAAATTAAATATACAGAAAACTAGTGTAGAGTCATTGTAAAATATTTGGTACGAAAATATTACATTTGCTTATTCATATAAATATACTTACACACACCAACACTAAAATCACTGCAAATGTCGAGTTCACAACTTACACTTTTCATTATAACTATCAGTAATTGATTATCATGTTTGTAGTATCTTTGTCGAAGTTGTTTCGAATTCATAGCAGTAGTCGATTCGATTCTTCAACAATAGGGGAATCTTTTTGACGATGGCACCCTGGAATGGCTTAGTATCATCTTGATGCGTCTCATTCTTTTAAAGCAGTTCAATAGGTTTCATGTCGACGATTGTTTCATGTCATCTTTTGGTCAATTTCTCTCGAGTATATTCATAGTTTTAGAGTTTACTTTTGTAGTTATGTAATGTCTTATTTTAGATTCTGCACTATAGATTATCCTTCTTGCAAGAACATCGATTTTCGCGATCGCATGTCTATTTGAGTATGTATTATTTGTAATATCTTAGCCCCCTGTTTATAATTGTTGCCTGTTTGCATGATTGTGCTTATATTTATGTCTGTTTTGCATGTATGTTTGAAACTATTGCAGCTTAATATGTTACACAATTATTTAAAACAGTAATAATTCATTTAAATAAATCAATTACAGTCATTACACCGTAAGTAGTCTAATCGAATTACATTTTTTTAATAAATTAGAAAATACCTTTTTTATTTTAACAAGTTTATGCTAATTATATATTTACGCGACACGAAAGTAAAACCATTTTTCACGATAAGTGAACCATCGCTTGGTCATGATGATGTTAAAATAATTGCAACAACATTCATTTGTTCTTTTTTTATTGAAGACAAGTTTTTTTTTTTATTGTAATTCATTATAAGTTCACCCTCAACGCCATCATTATCTTTAGCGTTCAATCGCTTTTGTGTAAAAGTCTTACCTTGGTTTTACTTCGTTGTCTCTAACTATACTTCTGACACTGTATGAGTGCGTGCGCGCCGTTGACGTCGTTGTTTGGTGTGCAGGTGGTAGTGAACGCGCTAGTGCAAGCTATACCATCCATCTTCAACGTGCTGCTTGTGTGTCTTATATTCTGGCTAATATTTGCGATCATGGGCGTGCAACTGTTCGCTGGAAAATATTTTAAGGTTCGTAACACGCATACTTTTTATAACACTTTCCGTAGACTACTCATTGTGGACGAAAAACTAACTCAATAACAATTGCAGATTAAGTTTTGTCCCACAAAACTATAATAAAAAAGTGCCGTTCTATTTTAATAAAATTTTAAATGTGTGCCAATTTCATGTATAAATTTTTCTAATGATCAATTTCCAGTGCGTCGATTTAAACCATACAACGTTGAGCCATGAAATTATACCCGACCGGAACGCTTGCATATTGGAGAATTACACGTGGGAAAATTCACCGATGAACTTTGATCACGTGGGCAAAGCCTATCTGTGCCTGTTCCAAGTGGCCACTTTCAAAGGCTGGATACAAATAATGAACGATGCTATTGATTCCAGAGAGGTAACTTCAATGTTGTCTAATTTAGTTTCGACAATCACAAGTTCTGTCTTAATGCATATGAAAATAAATTACATTTTTTTTCAGGTGGGACGTCAACCTATTCGAGAGACCAATATTTACATGTATCTATACTTTGTATTCTTTATAATTTTCGGCTCTTTCTTCACTCTTAATCTATTCATTGGTGTGATCATCGACAACTTTAACGAACAGAAGAAGAAAGCTGGAGGCAGTCTTGAGATGTTCATGACTGAGGACCAGAAGAAATATTACAACGCAATGAAGAAAATGGGTTCGAAGAAACCTTTGAAAGCTATTCCTAGACCAAAAGTAAGTTCAACACTAAATTACTTATTAATTTAGTGGTGTCAGAGAAAGTTCTCTTTTTCTAAAGAATAAATATTAAATTCCAATGTTGCGATAATTTACTCAAGATTTTCAAGTGAAATCTCTATGTTATAATTTTAGTGGAGGCCTCAAGCGATTGTGTTCGAGATTGTGACTGACAAGAAGTTCGACATGATCATTATGTTGTTCATTGGTCTGAACATGTTGACGATGACGTTGGACCATTACCAGCAATCGGACACCTTCAGCGCGGTTCTAGACTACCTCAACATGATATTCATAGTCATCTTCAGCTCAGAATGCCTTCTTAAAATATTTGCTCTCCGTTATCACTACTTCGTCGAGCCGTGGAATCTCTTCGACTTCGTCGTTGTAATGTTCTCCATTCTTAGTAAGCAATATCTTTACCTCTTTTATGTTGTTGTTACAATTAGTATTTTACAGTTGTAGTTATGCATATGACCTTAAAGAGTAAGTTAAAGTAGTTATTTTTTAACTTCTAGGTTTGGTGCTGAGCGATATCATAGAGAAATACTTTGTATCACCCACTCTTCTGCGAGTGGTGAGAGTAGCGAAAGTAGGTCGTGTGCTGCGGCTGGTGAAGGGTGCCAAGGGCATACGCACGTTACTGTTCGCTCTCGCCATGTCCCTACCAGCCCTCTTTAACATCTGCCTCCTCCTGTTCCTGGTCATGTTTATCTTCGCGATATTCGGAATGTCTTTCTTCATGCATGTCAAAAACAAAGGCGGCCTTGACGACGTGTACAATTTTAAAACTTTCGTGCAGAGCATGATCCTGCTATTTCAGGTATGTTATAAAATGCATACAGACACTCCAATTTTATTATTTGTATGTATTGATAAAATTAAGTGGGTGATATATTAGAGATAATGTGCTGATGCAAAACATTTTTTAGATGTCAACTTCTGCCGGCTGGGACGGCGTGCTGGACGGCATCATTAATGAGGAGGAGTGCGACCTGCCAGACAACGAGCGCGGCTCGCCTGGAAACTGCGGCTCGGCTACCATCGGCATTACCTATTTGCTGTCCTACCTTGTCATCTCCTTCCTCATTGTCATCAACATGTATATCGCCGTTATCCTCGAAAACTATTCACAGGTAATATATAGACATAGCATACTGAACAATTTGTTTCCTTCGGTGCTTTCTGTGTAAAGTACTTTGTCAGTTGTCAAGTTTAGTACGCTACAATTAATGATTTTGAGGAACTATCACTATTGATATCTATATATCGTTAGTGATAATCATATGAAAAATGTTTCAAATGAATGTATATATTTTTTTAATCTCTTTGGTCATAGTAATATTTATTATATAAGCTAAAAGATGTAAAAAACGATTGACATGACATACATC